GGACTCAAACGAAGGTTATCGAACAAGAGAGGAGAGGAGCAAGTACGTCTTGGATTGCTACAATGTAGATACAAGAGGTTTGAACTAAGGAACTATCGACCAAGACATGCTAACTATATACAACTATTGAAACGGAGATTGAAACTGAGTTACAACTACTAGCCAATCATAAAAAGAGAAAGGGAATCGTACCATAGAACATCGTAGAATATTAAAGAAGCATCACGTGACCATATCTTATCTTATCGTATCTAATCTAATCTATTCACAATCAAAGAACTCGTCTTCTTCATCAGTCACATCGAAGACACGTGTTGTGGGCGCTAAAGGTATTTCGGAAATGATAGACTGCTTTCAGGGTAGGGTTAGGGTTAGACTTAGGCGCTGTGTATTGACGCTTAGGAAGATTCAAGAAAGAATAATGGTTTGTTAAAGGTACTCGTGACAGCTGGGGAGTTGCTGGGTGGGATGGCTATTAGTACTCCAGAGTGACTGTGATGCATGCATGCATGTATCTCTAAAATTCAGATTGTCATTCTAGCTGTCGCTCAACCGAAGTTCTTATAAAACATGATGCAAGTTACTCCATTGTGAAGCAGCACACCAACATTGTTGCACCTGAAGTAACTAAAGAGCTGTGCTGCTGGTCAATGGAAAACATGGATGAATTATTGTAAAGCATGGGTAAGGTAAGATGAGTTTTTGCCCATATGGATGTCCATTCAAAAACTATTTAATGCCTCCCAGGCACACATTGAAAGTAGGTTCTAACCCAAATTCCTTCAACCTGGATAAGTAAAAAAACTTGGAATGCTTACAACCCAATCAAAGCTATCTATTGACAACACAAATACCACGACAGATCCTTGACCAAATTTCTCCTTCATGCATGCCACCTGGTAAGTATGTCCCTACACAGTACTGCTAGTTGATACATGTACATGCTCCTGGAAGACAATCAAATTCATGCTAGTTTCTGCATTGGAGTTGGCCACAAGTTTGGAGTGATATTCTCAAATGCTAAGAATGAGGCGTAGCCCCAGCACAAACATCTGCACGCCAATGAACACTTGAAGAGAATCATAGAGTGTCAGAACTCCACTGGAACTTGAATTCTAAAGAACTTATGAGCAGTAGTTACCCGCAGATGTCAGTGACAGGTCGGCACACCACAATCTCTGAAGAGTGAGTCGTAAGCTGAAGGCAAGAGACACATACAAAGCTAACATGCGCAGAACTTGAGCAGAAACTCTGGCTATAGTCACATTACCAGCTCACCTTGCAAAGTAAACCATGTGAGATTGTATCAGCACTCTGAAACAGTCTCTGATGGTTGATCCTGTCAATAAACCGAATCGTCACATGTCGCGGAAGTGTTTCACAGCAATCCAGACTGAAAGACACAGTGCAAGGACCTCCCAAGCAGTGTAGACCATCCAAAGTATCAAATACAGAAGTTTGTTGTTCCCTTCATATTCATAATAGCACATATATGTGCCAGAGAGTATCAGCTCCTCTGGTGTTTGTCCAATGAGCTATGTCCTTCAAGTCAACAAGTAAAACTTACCCACTATATTGTCCTTGAATGCTTTTGCCCCGATTACTCTGCAGGCGATACTACCAGCCAGAAAGATAATAACAAGGGAGATTAGCATCATTCTACTTCCCTGATACATGGCATGTAAGCGAGAAATTGTGATGACTTGCATCATATTTCAGTCAATTCAGTTACAAAGGTGTTGCAACTGGGTAACTCACCGCACAACATGACATCTACAACCACATATATCCAATTCCGTGCGTAGTACATGATATTTCCTGAAACACCCAATTAATGAACGCTCACGTAGTACCAAAAGCCCCCACTCACAGCTATTGAGTTATTATGTTGAGCCAAGATCAATGGTCAGAACTTCACTCACCCCTACAAATGAGTGTCTTCATGGGATGGGAATGGCATGGTTGCAGAATACTCACTGCATCTGTCAACGAGAAAAATGGTGCATATACTGTGCGCCGCTGGTCAGAAGAATCTCATACAGCACATATGAAACATACCCAGAACACCGGTACTAATTGTCAGAGATAAGCTATTAGCACGGTGTCAATTTGTTGGCCTCGACATGTACACAGAAAATGGAATTGCAATATAGCGTATCTAGAACATTGGGGAGTCAGCACCATGTTATAGCACAACATGAGGTATGAACAACCAAATATAGCACAGTCATGAGAGACCAATGCTGCCTCTGTTGCAAATTCATCATATTCTTCCGTTTTTCTTTTGATAAGGTACTCTGACGCTCACCCAGATCAGTTCAATCTATGACACCTTTCTTAGCAAGTTTTCCATTCCGGCAATAACATCGACCTACCTCTTGTCCCAGTGTTAGTACTGGAAATATTATGAGAATATCAGTACTAGTTTTCAAACACCATCCTGCTCACCCCAATTGTATACCACCACGACGGCAGTGGCAACTGTGAAAGTGCAAGTCAGTTAGATCAAGACATCTTAATTCCTAATGGACAAACCCATCCAATAACTGAGAAGGATATTTGAATCAATTGATGGCCACCAAGTGGGATCATTTAAGACCATGGACATATTTGAGGGATGGGTATGAGCGAGTGTGGAATGTTGATGGTGTACAACAATAATGTCCGTGCTAGATATAGCACTGTTCAGCCCTCCTGTCACCTAAATCTGCATGATGGAGATCAGTATTTGATTGATCAGACAAAGTAGTAGTATTGCTGTGCAAAATCAAACAACAGACACCCTTGAGCTTGATGCAGAGGCTCCAAGTTGATTTTGATTTTTAAACTGGTATTATGCACACAGCTACTGCAGTTGAACACCAGGAAAATTCCAGTTGTTGGTGATGTCGGCAACGAATTTCCATCACCATTTTCGGGGTGTTTTTGCTGCAAGCTTGCAAAAATTGAGGAGTTCCCTATATGAAATCATGATGTGTTCAAGACATTCTTTTTGGCCTTGCTGGCTGAGCCCGAGGCGTAACATGGTAACAGCTGTATAATGGAATGAGGCCCATTTTAGACACCTTGACTGTCACTTCACACACTGGCTATTATAATGCTGAAAGTGTATACTCTCATTTCCCACTTTTACTCACCCACGCCAGCAGTGAAAGCAATGCATTGTCATTCAATTGATCAATCTGCTAGTCTGGTGATGATGGATATATATATGAACATATCATCTCGATCAGTGCTTTACTTTGACGACCATGCTTAGCAGGTTGGGCCTCAACAGATCTTGCAAGGACGCAAACCCAACAAATTATCTACAGTTGCATGCGTGCAATGCTATAATGGTGCAACTCCAATAGTGTGTAAAATTTTGACACCTCATCAATGATTTGACAGGTGTACTTGAAGCCTTCTACTTACTAGATCAAGGCTCACATTCTCTAATTTTCTACTCACCCTCAGCACGCCTCTGAGTCATCTTACTATCTCCATGCTCATTCATGATAAAGGCATGAGCCACAAGATCGTGTGATTCATCATTCATTTCCTTTCTCTGTGGCTTAAACAGATAAAAATGTATCTCAGACCAATGAGATATGTATCGGCCATCTGGGCTTCATGCTTCGTGAATGCTTCATCATCATGCCATCTGTGTGATCAGACAACAGAACTCCTCAAACACATAGAATCAGATGTCTGGGGCAATTCATTCGTTGTATTTCAGTATAGGGCATTAAGGACTGTGTTGGATGCTCAACATCACAGATAATTTCAGCTTACCACTTGGTGCAAGTGTAGGCGGGCGGTTTGCTGAATTCCAGGTTACAATTGTGACACAACAAGTGAGTTTGCCTCCTCATAAATTTACTTCGAAAAACCATAACTAAAATAAATACTGTAGTGGATCCTCGACCAATACCTAGAACACTCGGCAAGCATTTTCCTACATAGAAGTACTGCTAGTTGGTACTTCTACACGCCCCTGGAAGACAATCAGATTCATGCTAGCTTCTGTGTTGGAGTCAGCTACAAGCTTGGCATGATACTGTCGAACACTAAGGATGAGGTGTGGTCCCAGAACGAACAGCTGCACATTGATTAACATCTGACAAGTACCATAAAGTAGTATCTGAGCTCTCATAGAGTATGATAACTACAGAAATGATGAGTAGCGGTCACAAGGAGATGTCAGGCACAGGTCGGTGCACCTTGAGCTCTGGAAAGCCCATAGGATGGATGAAAGAAACACAAACGAAGCTAGAATGTGCAGAGTTTGAGCATAAAAAGAAGTACACCCATATTACAAGCTCACCTTGCAAAGTAAAGCACATGAGATTTTATCAACACTCTAAAAAAGTCTCTGATGGTCATTCCTGTTGATGTGCCGAGTCGCCGCAGGTCACAGAATTGTTTGACAGCGATCCAGACTGCAAGAACCAGTGTGAGGCACTCCCAACCAGTGTAGAGCATCTAAATTATTGTATTCTGAAACTGGTGATCCCCTGCAGACACGAAATAGCATATGTACGTGCCACTAGACAGTATCAATTCCTCTGGTATTTGATTAACGGGATGTGTTCTTCAAGTCAACAGGTAAAGCTTACCCAGTGCATTATCCTTGAGGCCTACATCAGGGAATCTGTCCCTCCTGAATTTCTAATAGATCACGATAATTTTCGATAAATCTGGAGTATTATTTCAATTTATGAGCTTTAGGACAACTAGGAAAAATATGTTTCCTAGGAAGACTTTTTTACCTCCTCCTCCATGATTTATAATTATCAAAATTAGCTGATATTTCATGTAAAATCATTGTGAATTGCAGATAATTGCAGGAAGTATATATCAAACTTAGGTTTGAAAATCACGTATATCAGACAGCATTACAAGAAAAAGACTAATATTTGATTAAAAGACGCGTATAAAAGTCAACACAACCAGGACATGCAAACAGGAGAGATCAACAAATCAGTAATATTTATGGGTATATATCAGCGCCCTTCGACCTAATCCTCAGCCATTCCATCAAGGTCAAGTAGCGCCAGTGCATCTTGATGCTTACTAACCATATGATTGTTCCCCTTTTGTTTCAAGACCCTTGTAGCAGTGTCAGTATTGTGGCACCATGCACACCAGCGAAACTTACTGTACAGCTTCATAAATGTTGGCCATCATGCAGTGAAACTTCCCAGGTGCGTCCTTCTTTAAGTTCTCAAGGAACTTGATGTGAAAAATATATGTTTCACTGAGTTGATTCCCAGTAAAGTTGAACTTTCCTGGTGAACCGAGTGTCTTCCAGAAAAGAGCCGCATACACCTTGAGAACGAGTCAGTATAAGATGAATACCTAGAAATAAGGATATTACTGCTGTTGCCATGAGTGCTAGTATTGAAATTGGTATTTCTGGGTGATTGGCCTTGTTACGACTGATTTTGATGAAGTGCTCAGTGAACTTGACACTGATAGACTTTGCTCCAATGAAGACTCCGTCACATAAGAGAAAGATCAGTAGGTCACCCTGGTAGGGCTTTTCCCTATGGGTGATGCATCATCATTGGCCTGTTGAAGAGGGATGTAAGTTAGATGACTGAGGTAACTGAGCAGTGGTAATATGTAGAAGGGAATATGATAGAGGATGGAGCAGCGGACTGAAGCGGTGATATGTAGAAGGGAATATGATATAGAGCAGAGGACTGAAGCGGTGATATGTAGAAGGGAATATGATAAAGAAATGGATGTTAGGGAGCAGCGGCAATATGTTGGAAGGGAATATGATAAGAACTCACAGCGGTGATATGTAGAAGGGAATGTGATGAAGAAATGGACAGATAGCGGTGATATGTAGAAGGGAATATGATAAGAATGAATAAGGATGGAACTTACATCAAACCTCAAGGCATATACATAAGTGTGCTTCTCCATAAGTTTTTTTGCCTTGACTATGTTCTGGCCGAGACGAAAGTAGCTATCGATATTGGCACATGCAGCCATTTTCAAGTCACGGAGCAATAAGGGAATGCGCAGCTCGACCTAAATAGTTCAAGATAGTTAGACAATATATTTGAGATGTGCAAAGGACTTACCAAGCTAGCAAGGTGAGAAGCATACTGCACATCTTTTTGAAGATGTTGTTTGATGGCATGTATGCCAAGATCCTGAGCCACCTTCAACAAAGATTGCAACAAGTTCTGGTTTTTATCAACAAGTTCAGGATAAGCATTGACGAAGACAATGTAACACTTGGCATCAATAATCACATTCCGAATGACTTGACGAGTTTCATGGTTTTGATCCAGTAATTTGATATTACCCTTCTCCGTTTGAATGAGAGAAGTGACATTCTGAGCTGAACAAGCTGTGGAGGTAGGTTTGGGGGCACCTTCCAAATCACTGGAGTAGGGTTCTGAGGAATTGCCACATGTTGTACTAGTTTTGTCTACAGACTCTGAAACAGCATTGTTGACATCACGCCATGTTGGAATCTAAATTGGAGTGTTTGTGGGTGAGGGATTATATCAGTCAAGTATAAATGACCAGGGCTCACCTCTGCAGCGTGTTTTTGGTCCCGGGCAGACTGGGATTTTCCACATGATCAAACATCAGACTTGACCTTGTCGGTGACAATGGAAGGGACCTTCAACCGGATCAGTGCCTTGCTTACTAAGTAAACAAGTATCCCTCACCTCGTCAGAGAGCATCATGGCCATGGTCTCTGGTTCCTCATTGTCACTCTCCTCACGCCCAGCATCCAAATCATCACCATTGGTGATTTCCACCTGCTCACCATTGGAGTCGAGCTCATCATCATCAAATAATGCAGTAACATCCTGCATGGCATATGTGCAATGGAGTTTGTTAGGTTGATACAAGCCTGTGTACATATGCCATGAGTAAGACATTGTAACGATGGTCGTGGCGCTGGGCTTGGAACCAGGCAATCCAACACCTATGTTCATACCATTCCCTGACCTCCCTTGACCTTCCGAAGGCTGTGTGCACTTGTTTGAACCTTCTGCAGGCAGTTCTCGTGTTCCGAGGCCCGTCTGAACCTCACAAGCTACCATACCATGTCCTATCCTTGTCCTTTCGACTTTGCTGGTGCATTTTTCCCTTATTCTAACTATATGTTGACTACATCTTAGTGCTACATGGATAACAATTCCATTGGCATCCTGTCAGGAGCCTCGGAATACATATAAGCAGTATGCATCGCGGCTTATTACATGTATACTTGCATTCCTGCACGCCTTGCGGCTTATTACATAGGTTCGGACTTGCTTATCTCGCTACTAGTTTTGCCTATGGATTCTGGTCTCTCACAGAAGTAGGATATAATCTCGCTGGCTGGCTACTGATACTGCACTTCACTTCCCATACTTTGAGTTGTAATTAGTAGAGTCACCTCGGTATAATTGTAACTGCGCAATCAATCTTTGTTCATTCGGAACGATTGTTTGGCTAGACCGCTGCCAATTTTGCACCTCGTTTATTCTCGAGTTCCGATAGATTAGCGTCATTCTGGACTTCGGACATTTCGCAAAGTCTTATACTGTTATTCGACACATCGACATACTGACACATTGACATACCAACATATATTGACCTTCAGACAGCTTTCGCAAATCTTGGGAGACATCGCACTACTTCGGACAACACTTTCGCAGTTTTAGACGACCTTCGGTTGCATCAGACAAGTTTCTCGGTACTTCGGAAGTAGTCTCAGAACTCTGGATGAACATTAAAGAGGTTTACTTCCAATATCTTGTCTACTCTCTGACTGTATAAGACTTCCCTTGCATTATCAAGGTAGTTCTTAGGTTGTCTCTTGGGATGAAGCATACTCACATTTCCAGGACTAGGGACTCACATTCTGTAGAGCCCAGCCCAGATCTACTCTTTACAGCGGCACATCCTCTGATCAAAGGTGAGTATTTGATTCATGCATGAATAAAAAAATGTTACTGTTGGTACTGATGACCTTTTTTGCTTGGTGCTCAAGTGCTGGCCCAGCTTGACGAACTTTCCTTGACGTCTTAGGTATCCAAACTGAACTCACAGGTAAGCATTATATTTCAATCTCATTCAAAGTGGAAGTGCTTCCTTACTAGCGTTTTCTAAAGCTTTCTTCTTTGCATTTCGTGGCTCGCGAGTTGAAATAGGTGTGGACATGGTATGCTATTTTGAAAGGACAGGAAGCTAACACAGATCATTGGAAGGAATGTTAACATGAAAGAGTGGGCAGGAGATTGAAAATTTGGAGGGCGCTATTCAACTTCATTCAATTTATTAGTACATGGCGGTGCATTGCATTCCAGGGCAGTCATTTTTGGAAGTTTTTGTTGTGAGCATGGGTTCAATTTAAATTTTACCTCAGACTCACCCTAGTAAAATAGGTATAATGTTGATCATAACACCAGAACTCAGGAGGACATTTGCACAGTGAGCACTGGCAATCTCTGCTTCCCTACCTGCATTCACCCACCACACAATGTCGACGCAATGTCCTGCTTGTTCCTGCGATGATTTCACAGTCACCAGTCTCAGTCAGCATCTTGCAAAGAGCCGCAATCCACTTTGTCAAGCACTTTACCATCAGTCATGCTCCCAAATATACACACAAATGGAGCCGAATGATCCTTATCATAACAAGTTAAAAGAGTTTGAAATGGATGGAGGTTATGGCGAGGATGAGTTTGTGTGGGCTGCAGAGCAAACCAGTGGTAGTTATGCGGATGATGATGACTCGGATGTGTCCACTGTGGATGATGATGAGCTGAATTTTGAACCAGAATGGGAGCTTCCGGTTAAAGGGGAGCCTCCAGTTGAAGAGGAGCCTCCGGTGGATGAGGACGAGGATGAGGACAATCAATGCAATAGTACTCACTGCCAGGATATTCAATTACGTGCGCAAGGTCAACGTGGTTGTGTCGTCGTACCCTACCCAGATCCACATGCTGGCCAACAAATAACCAATCAAGCAGCCAACTGTTATGCTGCGAATGTGGAATATGGGGCTCAATTCAATGCAGAGCAGGAGAATCTGTATCATCCTTTCACTTTGAGGATGGATTGGGAAGTTGCAAGATGGGCCAAACTTTGTGGACTTGGTTTGACAGCATTGTCAGACTTGCTTGCAATCGAAGGTGTAAGGATATCATTTATTCTATGAATGTCTGTAATTAATGTGTTATAGGTCTGTGAATGCTTGTCGCTGTCCTTCAAAAATGCGAATGAGCTGGATTCACTCATTGACCATGAACTTCCAACTGGCCGCCCAAAGTTCAAAAGGGAACAGATCAGTTGTCGCTGGCAAAGCATTTGATGTCTATTACCATGACGTGATTGAATGTGTCAGGTCACTGTACAGTGATCCTGACTTCGCCAGATATCTGGCTTTTGTCCCCGAGCAGCATTATGCCGATGAGGATAAGACAGTTTGGCTCTTTCATGATATGCATACAGGCAAATGGTGGTGGGATACACAGGTATGTAGGACTGAATTATGTCTACAAGATATTATACTTACGTGACGATACTTTAGAAAAAAACTTGATCAGCACAGTCTAGGTGGCACCATCATTCCTATCATTATCTTGTCCAACAAAACACAATTAACCTTGTTCTGCAACAAGGCTGCTTATCCCGTCTATCTTATTATTGGCAACATCCCAAAAGAAATTTGATGCAAGCCTTCACATGGTGGTCATATCCTTCTGGCATATTTGCCATGCACACAACTTGAACATATTACCAACAAAGCTTCGCACCGCCAAACTATGGCAAACTTATATCATGCTTGCTTGCACCGTGTACTCACTCCACTGAAATCTGTTAGACTTGATGGACTTTGTATGGCTAGCGGGGATGGCGCTCTCTGCTGTTGCCATCTATTCTTTGCTAACTTTGTCGGTGACTACCCAGAGCAGCTCCTTGCTACTGGGATCAAGTTTGGAGAATGTCCAAAATGTGATGTTGATGCTGATGAAACAGGTAGCAACACAGCACCATTTCATCTATGGAAAATGAGCAAGGTGCTTGATGCCCTCACTGCTCTTGATGACGGGAATCTATCCTTTGTTCGCGCTTGCTCAGCTGCAGGTATTAAGCCCATTGTCCATCCTTTCTGGGAAGATCTCTCATTTACCAATATTTTCTGTGCAATCATACTGGATGTGTTGCACCAGCTATATCAAGGCCTCGTAAAGCATCTCTTAGGATGGTTGTCCGCTGCTTGTGGACCAGCCAAGATAGATGCTCATTGTCAGTGTCTTCCCCCCAACCACCATATCTGTCTGTTTAGGAAGGGCATCACTGGCTTGTTGCGTATAAGTGGGACCAAACGTGCATAAATATGCTGCTTTCTCCTTGGTGTTGTCATTGGTATCCATTTGCCCAATAATCTGAATGGAAGCCGACTTCTACAAGCAGTGCGGGGTCTACTTGATTTTCTCTATTTCGCACAATATCCATGTCATAGCTCAGAGACCTTGCAGCTGCTGGATGATGCACTCAATCTTTTTCACAATAATAAGGTCATTTTTATTGATCTCGGTATATGAAACAATTTTAATCTACCAAAACTGCATGCAACTTGCCACTACTCTCTCATGATTATGATGTTCGGTACAACCAATAATTATAATACAGAGTACACCGAACGACTTCACATTGACGATGCAAAGGACACTTACTGTGCAACTAATCACAAAGATGAACTTGTCCAGATGACACACTGGCTCGAACAAAAGGAGAAGATTCTCCGCTATGAGAAGTACATTGACTGGCGACTTGCTGGTGATGTCGAGTCCGAGCCTTACCATTTGCGTCCTCCTGACATGACTTTCCATTGGCTTCAAAAAATGACAAAGCACCCTAGTGCAAAGGCTGTCAATATTGACAAGCTTGTCAAAGACTATGGCACTACTTATTTCTGCGAAGTGCTCGCACACTATATCACACAACTCAACCACGCCAATGCCCATACTCGAACATTGGATGTGCTGGCACGCGATGTCCATCTCCCATTCCGAACTCTTCCTGTTTTTTTACAAAATCAAGTGGCTCTCAGTAGATAGTTGTGGTCTTGGTGATGCAGCAGTCACATTGGACTCTGTGCATGCCAGACCACAACGGACCTCCAGTTCTTGTCTGTCTGCTCATCGTTCGGATACAGCTCTTGTGCGCCTTGGTCCCAATACAGATGCTAGTATGGGTATGGAAGGTGTGTTTAGCCTTCACTATTTATGAGGATTCATGTCACTCACAGTTTGACTGAGTCTAGGATTGCGTGTTGGCCAAGTATGAGTCATTTTTCATTACCATCAAAATCACTATCACTCCTCGTTGCACTAACGGTCCAGATTCCCAGCCACCTAGCTTATATTGAATGGTTCATGCCATTCCGTTCAACTCCTGATCAATGCCACAGACTTTACAAGCTCTCACGATCCTTTCGTGGTGGTGAAGAGTTGACGAGTATTGTACCATTGGCAAACATAGTGCGTAGTGTCCATCTGATACCAAATTTTGGTGCCATCGTCCCACAGGAATGGACGAGTGACACAGTTCTAGATGATTGTAATACTTTTTGGTTGAACTCATATTTAGATAGATACACTTTTTGTAATCTTTAAATAGTTCTCGATAATTGCACTGTATTTTATTGTGTCTTAGTAGGTTTACCTCTAATACTTGTAACTAGCACACACCTGTTGTGCCTTCGGCACAGGAAGCAAAAAGAGTGCTTCGCGCTCTTTGTTGGCTTCCTGGCCTTTGGCTTCATCCTACTTTGGGTATTTTAATAATTATTTTAGGTCTTGAAATAAATTATATTGTATTCATCAAGTTGAGCATGATATATTACATTCAGATATATTGAACCCTCCTGTTCTCAGCAGGACATACTGCGCTACAGTGCTACAAAGCACTTTGTAGCAAATTATGTTCCCCTCATAAGTTCTCTGATTTTCCCATTCTCCTGTTTCCCTGTTCTCTGTGCAGATGAGAAAAGTAAAAGTAAAATTGAATGTGTTGATCCCATCTCACTTGTCCTCCCGTCCTGTTGTCCTCCTCCCGTCCTGTTGTCCTCCTCCCGTCCTGTTGTCCTCCTCCCGTCCTGTTGTCCTCCTCCCGTCCTGTTGTCCTCCTCCCGTCCTGTTGTCCTCCTCCCGTCCTGTTGTCCTCCTCCCGTCCTGTTGTCCTCCTCCCGTCCTGTTGTCCTCCTCCCACTTCTCCTGTTTTCTCATTCTTCTATTTTTTCCCATTCATCTGTTTTCCCTTTTTCACTGTTTTCCTGTTCTCCATTCTCCTGTTCTCCAATTTTCCCCATTCTCATTTCTCAATTGTCTTTTCTTCTTAAATTTATTATGATTTGAATTTCGTAAATAATAAATGTTTTTCAATGAGTGCTGCCCTAACGGGCAGCGGACGCACGTGATAGCCACACAAGTTTCCAAATCGAGCTTTAAGCGAGGTAAGCGAAACCACATGGCTTTAAGCGAGGTAAGCGAAACCACATGGCTTTTCGCGAATCTAAGTGTATCTAAGTGTATCTAAGCGTATCTACGCGGTGCAAGCGGAAACCACGCGAGTGTCCGTCCCTTCCCGTCACTGTTCTCCCTTACTTTATAGATTAGATAGAATTATCTGAATACCAACTTTTGTGAAAATTATAAGATTTTTACCTTGGGAAGGTTTTCCTGATGTATTGCTGCCATTACTCCAGAGGCAATCTGTACAGCCAGGAAGATAATTACAAGGAAGACATGTATGATGCTAGATCTCTGATACATGGCATGTAACCAAACAATCATAATGACTTGCATTATGTTTCAGTTGAGTCAAAATCACCAAAGTACTGCAGCTGGGTAACTCACCATTCAACGTGGCAATTACGACCATATATGTTCCATGTATTGCATAGAACACAATATTGCCTGAAACACCTGATTAGCAATCATCCTCATGCAGGATTAACCACTTTGACTCATACCTATATCGAGTCATTATGTTGGGCCAAGTTGAATGGTCAGAATCTCACTCACCCCTATAAAATGAGCGCATTCATTGGGCAGTAATGTGATAGTGGCAGAGTACTCACTGCATCTGTCATCGAGACCAAGAGGTGTGCAATCGAGAAGTTCAAGACACTAACCTCAGAAACTTCGACGACGCCTACGCCTACTGTGACCGATCGCTCAATTTAACCATATTAAGGTGCTGTTTGGACAGCGAACCCTGGTTCGAAAATTGCGGTTGAAAACAACACGTGATGATGGCACATGATATATTTTATCGATAAGAGATTATCGATAGCATGTAGTATAGTGTATATAACATGTAAATCTTATAATGATAATCACAATTGCTGCACCCACATGGACCTCGAAGCACAAACAGCAAACAATTTATATCGACGATGTCAAATTGCGATGGTCATCATCACCATTGCAGTTGCTCAGATTTCGTGCCTATATAATCTCTTATTCTTATCGCACACAGAAAAGACCCCATATCATATGTCAATTCTCACAGGAAAAGCCTGGATGTACGAACTCATTGGTGGTCACCCAGAGAGAATCAAACACAATCTCGGCATCGATGTTCAAACTTTTGAGGAGCTTTTACAAGTTCTGTGGCAACATGGATTTGTTCAGTCCCGCAATGGCGTCACTGTCGAAGAGCAATTGGGTATCTTTTTATATATGTGTGTTACAGGATTGTCATCTCGCTATGTTGGTGAGCGATTTCAGCGGTCTCCAGACACGATTACCAGGTGTTACAAGAACATCTAGATGCTTGGGCCCCTACCATTTTTCTCCTCATTCTCCTTGTCTCAGCCCTTGCATCACACCCTTACCCCAACCTCGCTCTCGTTATCCTTGTCATCCTCACATTCCCCTTCGCCCTCTACCTGTCGCTTCAACAGAGCCAGTATATCTGGCCAGACCCTTTCGCTGACGAAGCATACCCATGCTCTGTTCCACCACCTGACTAATCCTGCGGATAGTCCTTCTGCCCTTACCATCTGGATGGTAACCTATGATACGACGCATGCTGCATCCCCTATACCCAGTTCCCCTTCCCGATCTATGACTCAGTGTGCAGCTGCACATGCGTACTCATATTTAGCTCCGCAGTTGCATGATCGTGCCCCTGCGTGTTTCACTTCTTATTTCGATCTTTGACTCATGTTCTTATCTGCACGTTCAGGTTCACCCGTGTATCACCTCGGACGTGCCTTCCTTTTATAGTCTTACCCTTTACTGGTTCCCTCTTCTGGTAGTATGAGTTATCACCCACTAATACACTTCCTGTCCTCTATATAAACTCGCTACCATGTACTGTATTCCTTAACTTGAATCTACTTGGTTCTTGACCTCCTACTCTCACAAGAGTGATCCCTTCTGCCTAGCCAGCAGTCTATATTCTATCTTCTTATCTGCTCTTCATGGATAAGTCCTTAGTCTCGATCTTTACTCATCGACTTCGTCGATGAGCAAAGCCCCTGTTAACTAGTCGGACTTCTGTCCTTCTAATTAACGATGATCTTACGATTAACCTTCGGGTGTCATAAGCCTTGGCAGATACAGCTCATCGTCTAGCACCCGCTTGATGTAAGCTACCCGATTTGGACATAGGTGTCAAATCTTACTTGCCGAAGCCTCGCCAAGTAAGACCCCTAACCTTGGGCTAGCCCAAGGACGTCCTCGACCGTTGACGGCACACACTCTGTTTGAGCGTCGCCAACAGATACCATCCAAGTTGTAACACCAGGTAAGTATGTCAATAATTCAAGCTGAACAGTAGGCTAATGATTTTCACAGATATTTCAAGTGCATCCTCATTTTTTTTTCATCCTCTCCCTTCTACACTACAAATGTCTGGCTCCCAAACAAAAACACTCCCATTTCTGTGGCAATCCGCAATGACCCGCGCTTCAGATTCCTCAATCAATGCATTGGTGCCATTGATGGCACTCACATTCAGGTCTTTGCGCCACTCGAACATCATACCGTCCTGTGCAACCGAAAGGGATTTTTATCCCAAAACTGTCTATTCATATGCTGACTTCAACTTCTATTTTGCCTACTCACTCACAGGCTGGGATGGCTCAGCTGCTGATGCTAGTCTATGGAATGATGCACGGTCTCATGATTTGCGCATACCTGCGCACAAATATTTTCTCGCTGATGCAGGCTTTGGTACATGCGATGCACTTCTCGTACCTTATCGAGGTGTACGCTATCATTTGAAGGAATGGCGCCAAGCAAACCTTATGTGAGTTCATTTCTTTAGATTTGTTTTTCTACTAAATTATTTTGTACTAGGCCACGAGATCCCAAAGAATTGTTCAATCTTCGACACGCAGCACTTCGCAATATCATCGAACAGATCTTCGGCGTGTTGAAGCGGCAGTGGCGCATTTTGATGATCCCGCCAGAATATAGCATGCACATTCAGGCCCGAATCCCAGCAGCGCTATGCGCTATTCACAACTTTGTGCGCAGGCACAACCCTGACCTGTTTGACCTCACCCGAGACCACGAGTATGATCTTGTGGAGGATGATGCAGTGGGACATGGCGCACTTTCTGAAGGACCGGCAGATACTGCTGAGAGAAGATGAGCAGATGCTCATCATGAGTCAATTGCAGCAGCAATGTGGGCTGACTATCTTGAGGAACGTGAGTGGAGGGGACTCCCATTGCCTTCGTAGTATTAGTAGGGATTGCGCAATTTATGTACAACAATATATGCATTTGTCACACTCACAATGAAACGAGCGCAAGACAACAACAACACTTCATATTTGAGACAAAATGAGATACCAACATAGTACACTATCAGATGAACATATGGTCCTGTGAGTCAGTTGATGCCTGGTGTGGTGCACCACCACAAAGTATTTGCTTCTCCTCCAACCACTCAACCCTCATCGCCTCATCCAACGAGTAGAAAATGATCGCTTGGTTTTTGTGTTCAGCTAGGAAGTTGGCAATGGACAGGCGCTCTTTGCTGGTGAGTTCTGTGCACTTATTGAGCAGGGAGATGGCGCGCCCAACATGCGTGGAAGGCTGCACTGGCTGTGGCACTGGGAGCACCAGAGGAACAAGTGTGAAATTCTTCTGCATCTCGCGCACTACATCAACAAGATTCTTCATCATCTCAGTATCCTCCTGTTGTGCCAATAATGTGGCAGACGGTGGCCGATGTCACTTCTGGGAGCTTGCAGTTGAGCCAGCAGCAAGTGCACTGTACTTACGTTTGCTACAGCTGATGCTCGTCCATGCCGAGTCTGTGGTGGAGCCATCGGTAGAAGGTGCAAGATAGGTAGATGGAGCGGGTGGCTCAAGGAGATCTGGGTCAATCGATGATGGTGGCCCTGGTGGTGGAGGTGCTGCACTCGATGCTGCACTCTCTGTTGCTGGGGAAATGGATGATGAGACAGCTGTTGTGGTGGGCCGGAAAACATGTGCGCCCTTCGACTGATTTGGCATTAACTGCTCCATGATCTCAAAGTGGTCAAAGCCCCTTGTCATAAAGGGCTTTGCATGAGGATGTGACTAAAGATAATGTTATTAGATAGCATGAGATATATTGCAGTACTTACCTTGGTAAACCGTGCCCAGACATCATCCTTTCGATCGGCAATACCTGCTCCATGCTCATCACTCCATGTGAAACCCGAAGTGCACTTTAT